CTGTGCATCCATCTTTTGTGAGATGCTGGCTCTCATTTCAGACATATTTTGTGCGATGCTGGCGTTCGTTTTTGTGTCCTGTGCGTCCAACTTTTGTGAAATGCTGGCTTCCTGTACAGCCATCATTTGAGACATATTTTGTGAGATCGCAGTCAATAACAGTTCATGTCAATACTCTTAGATGAGCCAGGAGCCTTTCCTTGTCAATGTCCTTCAAGGATGCATCTTCATCCTCGCGGTGGAACTCGTACTGGTTCAAGTCGATGCCTTCAAATTCCATTGCTTCTCGCAATCTCGATTGCAGCTCTGCCTTATTTCCAGATGTCGACAATCCTCGCTTTGCCAACTCCCTCTTGAGAAGAGGTATCGTCAAATTCTGTATCTTTACCATTCTGCAAATATTATCCTTTGGGACTTATTTAACAATCCCACTTCTGACACCAATTGTTACGATTTTACTAAATCAACCTCGATAATTTTCTAGATCCTTCGGGTACGATCTTTGGATTGTTAAATAAAAACTCGCCAACTTAATTTGCAGTTTCTTTCGTTATAAAGAATTAATCTAATGTCCTTTATTTCCTCAATAATTAACAATTCAATTATAATGCACTTTACTATTTACAATCACTAGCATCAACTTTCACAATTTACTTTACTTAAATTCAATCTCCAACTTTACGACTCTATACTGATGTTAACGCCAACCAGTTCACTTTGTAACTAACTTGACTTGGCAGCTGAGTGTCGCCCTAATATAGCAGTCGGCTGCTCGTAGACGAAAGTGTAAAATAATCGAGTTGTCCGCTATCGAAGGTTCTCGTTTTGAGAATGTACTAGTCATCGGCTTCTCTCTTTCATCTGACATTCGCCTCGCATTTTCGCAACAGTTTTGTATTGTTATTTCTTCTCTATTCTATATAAACCATATTCATGATCTAAGTAGAAATATTGGAATATAGTCTGAATCTTAATAATGTTTGTGTGTATGTATATATATATGTATGTAGAGAAAGCAGAGAACGTATAACATTGAGAAGGAGCAAAGCCAACGTTTCTTACATTTCTGGCAGAAAAATTTCGTTTGGTGTAGTCGTCATTTCCTTCTCGTCTTGAACTTCTGTTTCACCTCGATATGAAAAATTAACAGAATCTATGCAATTGTAAATTAACAGCCGCTTTTATCAGAGTACGTATAACATAGAGATGGTGCAAGTACGGATCAGAGTGGAAATTGTCATATGTTATACGTTCTCTGTATACAAGAGCGGTCAGTGAGAGAACAATTAAAAATTAAACTCTTTTGAGACAGCATCGGTGGAATTTGAAAATAATAGATCGTGAAAGTTGCGAAATAAGTAGCCGTATATAGTAAAGTAAATTGTGATTTATTGAATAGTACACTTCGATTCAATCCTTAAGAATTAAGAAATTATATAATATTTGGTGACTGAATTCTGTGATCGAACTCGAAGTTGGGATATCATAGAGTCCTATTGAGGAAATCGTTATTATGTGCCTTCACTGTACAGGAATTGTGTATTTTTCAAATCTGTACCGAACCCCAAAATTTACATACGGAGCGTGGGTATCCACCATTACAACAATGCACCTCTGGGTTAGTTTTTTGTTTGACAGAGTTCACAAAACTTCATAAAACATCGCTTCAAGTAACCAAAGATTGTGTTTTTACTGTGAAAATATATACATTTTAGCAATATTAAAAAATGTTTAACTAGTTAAATAATAATGAAATGACTCGGAAAGCTCAACCTGATTGCCTTCACTACTTTTTATCGGTCCTGCGATCTGATAGTCCCAGCTCTTTTCATGCGGATGAGCTAACCCGCGTACTTGTGGAAGTAGGAAATTACGAGAAATGTAAAATCTTAATAAAGATATGTGAAAAAGGAGTAAATTAATATGTATATATTATAGATGTGGCCGCGGATACAATACAAAATGCCATACATGATGGTATTCTTAAACCTGCTCACCAAAACAACGCTGGATCTTCAAGAGTTCCCCGTGTGTTGCGTTTACCGAATCCAGAAGAAATAAAAGTAATTAGACTAGAAAATCAAAGTATTTAGTTGGATGCTAAATATATGGACACCTTTTTTTTACAGAAGAATTATTCACATGATTTCTACTGTTTTGAGTGTCATTTACCCGGCATGTTAATACATTGTCGGCAATGTCCACGTTCATTTCACCGCCTCTGCTATCGTAAGGATCCTGATAAACCCAATTACACCGTGCCTTCTGGAAAATTTCAAAAGCATCGGCCGCCAGCATTCAGTTCAGACACTGATAATGAATCCGACGCAGAGGGTACTGTTCATGGGTCTACCTCATTTGATTACGAGAGCGATGTACGCGCGTCATCTTCCTTGCTGCAGCTGGATCTTGGTTCGATGAATAGTTGGTCTCAGCAGCGATTTATCGAAGATGTAACGGTTGATAGCACATCATCACCTCTGCAAGCAGAAATGAATAACACGGAAGATGATAATATGAATACTACAAGTGCGTCTACATCTTGCGGTGTTTTGAATAGCAGGAACAAACTGTATGGTGAAGAATTCGATAGCGAATCTAAGACCAAAGTAGAAGTTGTTTGCTTGGGAGAAATACGGCCGCCAACTCGAAAACGTCCACGTACCACTACGTCTAATGTGTCGTACAAAAGTGAGATATGCGTCAATGATGAACCTGAATCAGATGTGGAGCTTTGTACTTGTTGTCGTCTATTAAAAACAGCTGAGCTACGACATCCACCCAACATGCAGAAAGACGAATTGAGTTATTTAATAGACTTCACATTTGAACGAAATCGATCATGGGTGAGTTTTAACAACTGTACCTACGTACAATATCATTATTTTACTGATTAACAATTTTTCTTTAAAGCTGAAAATAATGTGAGATTCTATACCAATAAAATGTCTCTTTAGGTTTCTAACGATGTACAAGACTATATGGAAGCACTAAAATTACCTAAGCGAATGAAATCGATTGTCAACAAGTTACTATTTAAGTTTCCCGATGTTACTTTGACAAACATTGCTGCTAAATTGAAAGGATTGCGGTATAATCTTTTAACAGAATTTATCGTTGATATACTTGATTTGCAACATAATATTGGTGTCTTTTTTGGACGTAAGTGAGCTCATGAATTATTTCAATAAAATCTAAAAAGTATTCTATTATCAGCTCATAGCACAGAAATGGAGGCAACAAAATGGATGGTGCGTGATATTGCCTACGATTTAGCAGAGATACGTCGTTGTCCTGATTGTTTTCGGCATTCACATGAAAAGCACTCAAGTGTCTGGTTTGCCAAACCGTGTGTGCAGCGCCACGAATTGGTCTTTGCTAAACATAGTGGATTTCCTTATTGGCCGGCAAAAGTAATACGCCTGCTACCAAACAATAAATACGATGTTCGTTTCTTCGGTGGCAATCATTCTCGCGCTCTTGTTGAGTCACGCTTAATAAAATCAATAGACACTGATATAAAATCACTAAAAATAGGTAGTAAGCCAGCTATTAAAAAAGCACTGGAGGAGTTACGCATACATCAAGTTTTAGCCGCATATCCGCCAAGTATATTTTCTTTTCATGCAAGCAAAACAGAAATGGAGCAAATTATAAGAAATGCTTTGCAAAGGACTGAAAATCAATTTATGGTGAATTCAAATAGGGGAAGGAGGCCAATCGCACGACGGCAAACTATTTGTAATGTCGTGCCCAATTACAGAATGGAGACGTCGGAAGACCCGATTTCTTTACTCAGTGTCGAAGCGCCAGTGCTGAGTGACAGCGGATTCCTGAATGAAACAGAAACCAGAGCTAGAAAAAGAAGGTTTTTATATCCATTTATGTTTTCTTTACTTTTTTCATGAATAGACATCACACATATTTTAGATCGGAATATTCCAATCCACAGTTACAAAAACGTGTAACACGTTCCACGAACAATGTAATAAATGTATCAGGTCTTAAAGAGGTAATTATAAAAGTTATGTTATATTCAGTTTAGTTTCAACTTTAAAAATGTCTAATTTATGCACTTAGATTCAAGATCAACTTGATGATACCCTAAAATTGGTAGCAGCTACTCAAAAGAAAAACGAAAAATTGATGGCGAATATTGAGAAATTAAAAGAATCGATAAAGAAACATGAACACGAAAAGAAAATTCTTAAACGAAAGCAATGGGTAACTTATATAAAGGCGAAAACTTTTTAATGAACCGATTAACTAATTAAATATTTTTCTTAGTGCTATTGGTGTCTTAATGAAGCCATATATTTGTGTTGCTTTCGTGCTGCTTATTGTTCGCAAGTATGTCAGTCACGTCACTGGAAGGACGGACATAGTAAAGTGTGTAAAAATCAAAACGAACAACGACAAGCAACATCCACATCATGAAATACGCGATATATATTTATATAAATTAATTGAGCTCCATTGTATACCCAACGGAATGTATATTGCTACAATTGTTTTACCTATGTTTGGTTTTGTTAAAATTCCCTTAAAGGATAATGCTATATATTGTTCTAATAAAATATAATTACCGATGGTGTCTCGAAGTAATTCGGAAGACTGTTAGGATTGGCTTTGTTATACTCTCGTTTCTTTAACTTCATACTAATTATTATTCGATTAATACATCACTAAGGACTCAAAGATTAAATTTAATACATAGAGTTATATGATATATATGTATTTTCGTATATTGGAAAGGGAAATATTTTATCAATGTACAATTTAAAGTGAATTAAAGAAAACAAATTTAAAAATTGTGTTTACATTTTTTGGATGCAGTTTCTAAAGACATTCAACTTTTGCGGTACTAAGGTTGGATATAGTAGCAAATATAAAACCTACTAAATCTGCATTTCCCATTAATTCGAGTTACAAAGTTCTCGTTTCCTAGATTTGCTTTAGATTACCTCGATGCCATAAAAGACTTTGTCATATACAAGGCTATTGAAACGCTACAACAACGACGTGAAGGTTAATAAATTAATGGTCTAATCAACCCACAGTTTTCATCGAATTTGATTAACCTGACTGATTCGACAGAAATAGATCAACGGAAGGATGGTGACACATTTTTAACATATTTACATATGTTGGTGCTCAGTTTGAGTCATGGTAATAAAAGAGAATTCACTTCCTCGACAGCTTTCAAAGGAAATATTTCAATTTCAAATATTTCTGTCGTATGTGACACAACAAACTGCATTAAACACAAATATTAAATTTTTAAAACTTGTGCATTTTATATTCTTCAAGATTTTCATAATATCGTTTGACATGGTGGTTTCCATTTCACAGTTCGTACGTTTATCATTCGAAATAAAAAAATGTTAGACACATTTTCTAAGTAGAAATATGAGAGTTTGGATGTTTATTTTGGTCCCAACATTTCGGATGGTTTGACCCATTGTTCAAATTGTTCAGCAGTCAAATAACCAAGGTTAATGGCTTCCTCTTTCAAAGTGGTACCATTCTTATGGGCAGTCTTAGCAATCTTGGCAGCTTTATCGTAGCCAATATGTGGATTCAAAGCCGTAACCAACATCAATGATTCAGCCATGATCTTGCCAATACGATCACGGTTCGCCTGTATGCCGTTGACGCAGTTGGATGTGAACGTACGTGAGCCATCAGCTTTAAAACAAAGAAACAAAAAATTAGTATCTATCTACAATTAATATGCAATTTGTTTCATACGTACATAGCAAGCGAATAGAACGCAATACATTCGATACGATCAACGGTTTGAAAACATTCAATTCAAAATGTCCATTGGCACCACCAACAGTCACTGCTACATGGTTACCCATCACTTGCGCTGCTAACATGGTAAGTGATTCGCATTGCGTGGGATTTACTTTGCCCGGCATGATCGAACTGCCAGGCTCGTTTTCAGGCAGCATTAGCTCACCCAAGCCGCAACGTGGACCTGAGCCAAGAAAGCGTATGTCGTTGCCAATCTTCATTAAGCTAACGGCAATTGTGTTTAACACACCATGCACTTCCACCATAGCATCCCGCGCTGCCAAAGCCTCAAATTTGTTTGGCGCAGAAACAAACGGCAGTTTGGTAAGCTGTGCAATGCGGGCAGCACATTTTTCCGCAAAGCCTATGCGTGTATTTAGGCCAGTACCAACAGCAGTGCCGCCTAAAGCCAATTCATAAACGCGCGGCAAAACAGCATCGATACGATCGAGTGCGTACGCCATTTGTTGAGCATAAGCGCTAAATTCCTGACCCAATGTCAATGGAACTGCGTCCATAGTGTGGGTACGTCCAATCTTGATTATATCCTTGAACTCATTCGACTTAGCTTTAAGCGCATCATGCAAAATTTTAATCGCAGGTTTCAAATTATTATTCAATTCCAAAGCTACCGAAATGTGAATGGCTGTAGGGAAGGTGTCATTCGAGCTTTGCGACTTATTCACATGATCATTTGGATGTACCGGATTCTTTGAACCCAATTCGCCGCCCACCAATTCAATAGCACGATTGCTGATCACCTAGACAAATCACAAATCACAATGTTCATTAAAACAATTAAAGCAATCAATCAACAAGTGACTTTAACTGGCTCACCTCATTCACATTCATGTTGGTTTGCGTACCAGAACCGGTTTGCCAAATAACCAAGGGGAAATGCTCCTCGTATAATTTACCAGATATAACATCATCGGCCGCCTTCGAAATAGCGTCACTAATCTTGGCATCCAAGCCAAATTCCTTGTTGACCTCAGCTGCAGCTTTTTTCAAAATGCCCATTGCTTGAATAACCGGTTGCTATAGGCAGAAAATAATAATTCAAATAATAACGGTTGAAAATTTGTTCAGTGATAAGATTTACAGGCATGCGCTCGGAGGAGCCACCAATGGGAAAATTCAACTTCGAGCGCATTGTCTGGGCGCCATAATACTTGTCCGCGGGAACTTTCAGTTCGCCAAATGTGTCTGATTCTACACGATAAGCTTCTGACGCCTGCAAAAAAAAACCATAAATCAAATTAATTTATTCAGTACGATATAATGCTTGTTATAAAAGTTTATTTGTGTGTTTATATATTCACAGAGAGTATGTTACGTAAATATGTATGTATATGTACATATGTATGTCAAAATATTGTATTTAAGTAGTATTTGCAGAAGGCAAAACTGTAAGCGCACCATTTCAAAAATGTAGTGCAATCCAACTCAACTGTTCAACTACTAAAGACACAAAGCGATGAAGCAGTTAATTTTACTCAAACATGTTATGAGCAAAATGCTGATAAACAAAAAATAAATAATACATATAATATAATTCGTTGCTTGAGTGAAATATCTTATCTTACTGAGAGCGTGAAGCTCATTTAAATTATTTTGAAAGAATTTTCAAGGCGAGATTTATAGCTTTGGAGGCTTGACCGATGTTACCTTAAAGCCACTTGTAATCTCATTTCTACGTCTAATAGAATATATATAGATGGCAAAAAATATATAAATATATAATGTAATAAATATATGTAATTATATGCTATAAATACTTATTTCTTTACAACAAACTATGTTATTATTTACTAATTTATACAAAATTAATCTAGTAAAGCCCTCCGAATGTTTTACCGGCAAATACTTATCTCATCTTATATATGGAATAAAGACCGGTTATTAAGCTTTTAAATCTTTAGTAACAAATACAATTACAAATCAATTACAGGTTGAAAGCGAAAACGGTGTGTTAAATGTATAAATTGTTTAATAACTACAATCCAGAGTTTTTACAATAAATACATACGTACATATGTATGCATCTACGTTAACATTTTTTTTAGTGCATAAATATGATATTATATGTTCGTTAATAGTGAATAGTAATCTTCAAGAGAATCTAGATTTTAAGCGTCCGATACCTTTGTTTTAATTTTGAATTTCGATTTCATTAATATTGGTGAAGACCAAAAGATCAGCTGGGTGAATTATATCGCGCTAAAGTAGCAGGATCATAAACTTATCCCCCTGCGGGTTAGGGGCTCAAGAATTTACCCGCGGTAAGGCATGCCTGTCGTAGGAGGCGACTAAAATCTAATAGTTCCCGCGACAGTCGGGTCTTTATACCGGAACGACCCGGATTTTTATCCGGCCAAGGACTGTCACTCCCGCAACATTCCCCAAAAAGTACTTTGGGGAATAATTTTGCGGTTACAACAACAACAACAACATCATAAACTTATTTTTTATTCCATTTTAGTAAAGGTTTAACAGATCTTTTTTCAGAGATAAATCAAAAATAGTTCTTTTTAATTCTATTATAGCCTACTTAAAACACATATGGATTTAAAGAAGAAGGTTTTAGGTTTAAAACTATGATAACGCGGAATTAAAACACCATAATTTATATTTCCTTATGCACTTTCATAAAGAGGTGTGAATTTATGTACATATATAGGTTTGTGTTTGTTTCTTTTCTTTGCATTTTATTATATAAGAAACCAAAATGTACAAGCACACTCAAGTGTCAACAGCTTAATTCTTTTACTTAATTTAGCACTCAATATTTCACACATACTCACTTCACCATACTTATTGATTTATTATTTAATTAAACTGAGCCGTACATATTGAGAGTGCTTCATACATTTTAACTACAAATTATTGCTGTACTTTTCCATTTCATACTCGTGCTTATGTACATATACATTTATACTCATATGTAATTGCTGCTTTATTACCCTTGAGCGATATCCGGCCGAGCTCCTCCTCCTTCAGTTTGTGGAGTGAGTCCTTTTTTTTTAACAAATGAAGGGACCTACCGTTAAATCTAAAACTCCTCTGAACGGCTTATGTAGAGGTTCTCATTTTAGTCAGAAAATCACTCGGAGGAGCTGACCTTCGCTGCCTACGCACGACCCCAATCAGAAAATAATTTTCTACATTTTGGTTTTTGGTTTGGCCAAGGATCGAATCTATGATCCTAGACTTGGTAATTTGCACTGCTAAATTTTAGGCTAATACGACCACGACTTTTCCTTCTCACCCGTTATTTCTTGCACACGTATGTATGTACTATATGCATGTACTTATATCCACCTGATAAAAGTGTAACTAAAGGAAAAAAAGCACCGTTTGTGAAAAATCAACGATCTTTTAACTTAACCATGAGTGACCTTAATTGAGCTTATAGAGGTAATTGCTAAAAAAAAATTATTTATTTCTTTCATTAAATATTTATTTATAATAGATACCGAATCGCCATTGCAACCTTTAACACGACTTTCTGTTAATGCAGATTTCAGTTTTAATATCGGTGGAGATGGTTCCTTACAACCTTGGATCGATCAAATCAATATAAAACGCGGCAAAAAACAAACTGAGCAAAAGCAGCCGCAGACGCAATATGCCGCACCTGCTCCACTTCGAAGAAAGCCAAACCGAATTACGGTCGAACGTCGAGTAGCAGAGGCTCGTGAATCGATAAATCGACCTTTATCAAACCATTTAAATTTAAATGCTGCTAAATTAAAGCAGTGTCACAAACGCTCAACTTCTTTAAAGACAAATTCACGTATGTATAATGTATTAGAAAGAGTGGGTATGGATAAGTATTGGGAATTTTTCATAATGCATGGCATAGATTTTGGCAAGTTCCAGACATTGACATGTAAAGACTTTGAATGTTTGGGTATAAGAAGTCATGATATTGTCAGTCAGTTAATTAAAGCCGTGAATATGGCTCGCACATTTTATTAAAATAAAATTTTAAACTACTGACTGGGGCATTAGACTTATCTAATATTTAACTATTCTAGTTTATATTTGTCCGAAGAAAATTAACTTTAAATATAGTAAAATAAACTAAACGTATAAATACCTGATAAATGCAGATCTACACTTTTCTCAGGCATTATATTTTCTAACATTAAATAATAAATTAAATACAGTTATATAAATGACATTTTTTGTAATTATTTTGCTTTGTGAGAATGAATGAAACAATAAAAAAGGCAATCTCTTTATACGATAAATATAAAAGACTTTCTGTACATATAATCTATTTAAATTAGATTTTATATAATTATGAATTTTTTATTGTAAGAAAGAGTATATGTATGACCATTTGTATATTTCTACACAGATAGATATACTTAACGTAATACATCATTTCTTATACACATAAAAGTTATAATCTCACCATCTCAAAACTAGTAATATTTTTTTCGCTTTCACTTCCTATTTTTTCACAATTCTTTCAATTTTAATACGGCACGTGCAGAAGAATGTAAATAGATTTTGTCTGTATTCAAAGCACCGCATGCAATATACAAGGAGGGTGACAGATAAAACCAGACTGAAGAGTTTATTAGTTCATTATGTTTACCGGCATTTAAGCAAAACAAGTATCGAAGTGTGAAAATTGGTTGTGCCATCTTTGGCGACTAGTGATCTCATTTAGATATGTGTGGTCGTAATTATGTATTTCATATACAAATATATAAAAAAAATTCTTATTTATAATAATCCTTTCAGTGTATAACTAAACTAACCTCACTCAGCTACATAATAAAAATCTTTCTATACAAATATGTAGAATATACAAGTATTTTCTTTTTATCAAATTTGATATTTAAATTTTCACAATATTATCTGAATAGATATTTAATTGAAAATATTCGAATCATTCAGGCAAATAGCTCAGATTAACATTACATAACCACCTCCAACTAAAATATTGTTACTACAAATTGAATTAGATTTCTTCAGACAACACAGTATATTTACCAATCTTCTAGTGATAAGTGGTGTAATACCCCATTGGCGGCAACAAAGTTGTTGCAAACTGCCTGCTGAACTTGCTGAAAGTCGCACAATTTGGAACACCATCTTCTATAAGAAATAATGCACAAGTTTTTCTACCTAGCTTCCAATTAGCAGAAAAAAGAATCACTAATTCGACATAAGATGATAAATTTTTTGTTTTATCATCGAAATCACAGCTGACAAATTGCAAAACAAAAGGAATGGCAACCTGCCGCTAGCACAAAAAGGAGAAAGTTGACAACATAAAAAAACATTTCAAAAGACTAACACATAGTTTCCATCAATGATGCTTCTAGCATAGGCAATAACTTGAAAAAAGTAAAGCAATTAGTTTTAATAAAATTGATACTGAAAAATATTGTAAATAACAATATAAATTCTCTGATTACTTAACTACTACTCACTTAACATTTTTTATTTATAAAGCATGTTAGGCCTACACCGCTGTCTATTAAACAAAATTTCCGACATTGATTGATAACTCCTCCCATGGATCGAAATTTGCTCGATTCTAATTTTATGCACATCAAGATCTAGCTGTTTGCTACAAAATTTAATTTAAGATTATAGTATATGTGGTATATATAAATGGAAAACTTCAACACAAATTCAATAAATATACATTAACCGTTTTTGTAGCCTATTGAGTGAGCAAGGCCTATTTGGTTGAATGAATTGAATATTTTTGTTACACAAAAAAAAGGTTATTGTTGCTGTTGTATCCGGAAAAATATTCCCCAAAGTACTTTTTGGAGAATGTTGCGGGAGTGACCTTGGCCGGCTAAAAATCCGGGTCGTTCCGGTATAAAGACCCCACTGAAATGGTAGAAGCGACTGCTGTTTCGGAGATCACCAAATGTCCAAATAGACTTATAACAAAAATTCAACAGTTACTTAATTTGATATATTTTTAACCCTTTGACAAAAAAAATTAATAGAAAAATATTCATTGTTGGTACATCATTGGCTGTTATAGCTTTGCTGGCAGAGTTGGAAACATCACGCTGCGCAGAAAATTAATATTTCTATAATCATTTGGCAACCACATCCAAACAGCTGTCTTTTGGTATTATTTCATCTAGTTGCCAAAATAAACGTAGAATTTGTTTATCATCCGCGGCAATACATTTTCAAATTTTAAGTCTTTAATTCATTCATTATTAAAATGGAGAGACCTCAAAAAATGCCCAAGGTGGCGAAGGTAATATACATCGAATTCAATTCTAAAATATTTAATTCACACTTGTTTTATAGGTTAAAAATAAAGCACCAGCAGAGGTGCAAATTACTGCAGAACAATTACTCCGAGAAGCTAAAGAACGTGACCTAGAAATTTTGCCGCCCCCACCAAAGCAAAAGATTTCAGACCCAGCGGAATTGGCTGATTATCAACAACGTAAACGCAAGGTATTTGAAGACAATCTTCGCAAAAATCGCATGGTAGTGAGCCATTGGATAAAGTATGCACAATGGGAAGAGTCACAAAAAGAAATACAGCGTGCCCGTTCTATTTGGGAACGTGCTTTGGATAACGATCATCGAAATATCACCATCTGGTTAAAATATGCTGAAATGGAAATGAAGAATAAGCAAGTGAATCATGCTCGCAATTTATGGGATAGAGCGGTCACAATAATGCCTCGCGTAAACCAATTTTGGTATAAATACACTTATATGGAGGAAATGTTGGATAATGTGGCGGGCGCTCGTCAAGTTTTTGAACGGTGGATGGAGTGGCAGCCAGAAGAACAAGCTTGGCAGACTTATGTTAACTTCGAATTACGCTACAAAGAAATAGATCGAGCGCGGGAAATTTATGAGCGTTTCGTATATGTTCATCCTGATGTTAAGAACTGGATTAAGTTTGCCCGCTTTGAGGAATCTCATGGTTTTATACATGGTGCACGTCGTGTTTTCGAACGAGCAGTGGAATTCTTCGGAGACGAATACATTGACGAACGGTTGTTTATTGCATTCGCTCGATTTGAAGAGGGACAAAAGGAGCATGACAGGGCGCGTGTCATTTACAAATACGCATTGGACCATCTATCTAAAGATCGCACGCAAGAACTGTATAAAGCCTATACAATACATGAAAAGAAATATGGCGATAGGGAAGGTATTGAAGATGTTATTGTTTCAAAACGAAAATTCCAATATGAGCAGGAGGTTGCTATCAATCCCCAAAATTACGACGCATGGTTCGATTACTTACGATTAATAGAAGGTATGTCCATTGATAGCTTTATATAACTATCTTAAAAATGTTTGCTTAAAATTGATATACATATATATTTATTTCCAATTTAATTCGTAGGTGAAGGTGACGTTGACCTCATACGAGAAACATATGAACGGGCTATTTCAAACGTCCCACCTGCAAATGAAAAGAATTATTGGCGACGTTATATTTATTTATGGATAAATTATGCCCTCTATGAGGAATTGGAAGCTGAAGATTTAGAACGTACGCGCCAGATTTATAAAACATGCCTTGAGCTCATTCCTCATAAGAAATTTACATTCAGTAAAATTTGGCTGATGTATGCACAGTTTGAAATTCGATGCAAGGAGTTACAAAAGGCTCGTAAAACATTAGGAATGGCGATTGGAATGTGTCCGCGCGATAAACTTTTCCGTGGTTACATCGAACTGGAAATACAGTTGCGCGAGTTCGATCGTTGCCGATTGCTTTATGAAAAGTTTTTAGAGTTCGGACCCGAAAATTGTGTAACTTGGATGAAATTTGCTGAGCTCGAAAATTTGTTAGGTGATACGGATCGCGCACGTGCGATTTTTGAACTGGCAGTGCAACAACCACGACTTGATATGCCCGAGCTTTTGTGGAAGGCATATATTGACTTTGAGGTATCACAGGGAGAAGCACAACTGGCACGCCAACTTTATGAACGTCTTTTGGAACGTACGCATCATGTAAAAGTGTGGATGTCATACGCAAAGTTCGAATTAACTCAATACGATGCCGATCTTGCCGATGAGGATCCCGAAATTAATATAAAATTGTCAAGGCGTGTATATGAACGTGCAAATGACACCTTGCGCACAGCAGGAGATAAAGAGTCACGAGTGTTGTTGCTAGAGGCATGGCGAGACTTTGAACGAGAATCGGGTGATAATCACGCATTTAAAAAAGTAATGGAGAAAATGCCCCGCCGCGTTAAGAAACGGCAAAAGATTGTTTCAGAACATGGAGTGGAAGAAGGCTGGGAGGAAGTGTTTGATTACATATTCCCTGAAGATGAAATGGCGCGTCCTAACTTGAAACTGCTTGCTGCTGCGAAAATGTGGAAGAAACAAAAAGAATCGGTTAACACAGAGTCAGATGAAAACGATGTTAGTAAAAGCATGGACGCAGAAAAATAGTAATGAAACATATTATATTAAAGTCTTAGTTTCTACCTTGAATAAATAAGTTGTGTATGATGTCTAAAATAACAGATAGATTTATTGTTCTTTAAATTTAGTATTAATGTGTGAATAATGTGACGATCTAAACGGGGTTAGATTGCTGGATAAAATTCGGTTCAGCTCCGGTGCGTTGTACCGGCTGTTGTGAACCTTCCTCCTGACACACCACTCAGGCATATCAAGAAGAGAGTATACTTGCACAGTCCGGGAATACGTTAAAACATACATCACTCTCTTTTACTGTGAATGGAATTTTTGGAGATCAAGCACTATCTATTGCCGACTAAGAGCTCGATACACCCGAGTAATGCCGGCACAGTTACGATATGGATATTTGTACCCAACGTGTGTACAGCATGCAATGAGACGCTAACCAACTCTTAGAATGGCTCTAAAACCAACTCATTAAACCTTTCCTTCTAGTCCGAACTCGTCGAAAAAGGACCTCCCATAAGACTAACTCGATGACTTAAGAATAATCCTGTGTAACTCTTAGATGGGTTGACGGGCCACTATAGCAACAAAAATATTAATACTTCAGTGAGCTGATTGGGAAGTCATGGTCTACAAACTCAATCATTTACGGTTATCTGTAAAACCATAAGCTTGCATACGAGTATATAAGTCCTATGGTTGTTAGCGTATAACGACCAAACGAATAATTTTAGAGATACGTATGTATGTATAAGCCTCCGTTTGTGTAAATTGGCAAAAATTTAAACATTCTGATGCTCTGGTATATATGTACGTGGAGAAAATCTGACCATAACCTACAATACAGGTTTAATTATGATAAATAAATACCACTATGATTATAATTGTCCAGGAACACAACTTAGGTATGTGGGTTCAAAGGCAAAAAAGTGATGTGGCCCCGTGCTGCCAGCGGTCAAGTGTGCCCCCAGCCTTACCGGCAGTACCTTTAGCATATTTATCCACTTAGTGACATCAGTCAGATGCAACTCTTGCTCTGGCTAGTACCCTTTTCGGACGTACTCTAGCCTGCGCACCACCCGAGAGTGGAATGATGCGTACGTTGCCCCATGCTGTAGGAGTCTAGCCCTGCCTTTATATACAGTATCGCTGCCAATCAACAAAGTGCGGCACCCAATCCAGCGGGTATTACTTCAACAACACCCTTCAACAAATCATCACTCCCCCACCCCTCATATTACGAACGAATTCCTGAGACAGACACGACTGCTATAATTAACTGCAATAGACTCCAGGGAAAGATCGACAAGTTAGACGACTATATGAGCCGATAGCACCTGTCAATGGCTGCGATCCATTCTTCTGAGCCGAGCCGCATACCACATTATCCGCAAGGACCGCCACCGAGACCACGCGACACAGTGCTGTATCGTCTTATCGATGGCGACATCGACCGGAGGGATACTACCTAGAATGTAGGGGTATAGCTGTCCGGTCAGACGGTATTTAATATATCTACGCGTTAGGAGCTGGCGGAAAAGATAGACGATTCGACATTCTACACCATGAACGATGATGCCCCTACAAGAGTTGTGAGTAATTTCCAAAGCTCGCCAGACATAACAATTGCGAGTGCTGGCCTGATAAACAGAAGAAGAAGCACTTAAGATCATGCAATCTCTTCTCTGGGGCAACCAAGCTCTTGGCTACAGTCAAGTCATTAACAAACCCGACGAGACGCGATGACCGAATGAAAATTTCTTTAGGCGACCGCGCCTAGTGGGACTCGGAGAGATGCACGAGCTATTTTAGCCGACCTTTTACACTGCATTCTTCGGTTGACCAAGTGAAACGACGAATAATTCGCCGCTTGGGCAAACTGCCAAACACCGGCGCAACGCTTGATTTCGACAAGAGGCTCAGGGGGTCTTCGGAAAGGTCAAAGCCTACAAATCCGTTGGCCTAGACAGAATAAACAAGCAACCGCCACAACAACAATAACATGTCCCACTAAAAGTTAACTATGTTTAGGCAAGTACAAAATTCCAAGTCGTGCTTTACAGAGCCAATATAATCAGTAGCGCCGATGCATTTTCAAGATAAGGATAATAAAATTTTCTGAAAATAAATAAAACAACAAAGTTGAACTTTTTGATTTTCTAATTGTTTTATTCATATTATTTTATATGCTGAAATAGACATTTATTACATTTATATATGTATATGTATATGTGTATACGTTTATATATGTATGTAGTATATAAAGATAGATTATGTTTTAGGTGTTCATTCCGTTTCTAATGAAACTTCATGGAGCAATCATGGTCAAAAACTTCCTTTGGCAGCTGTCTTATCTATAATAATGGCGGTTGAGCAACATACATGAAGACAACCGGTAGTTTGTTGTTGCAATTATGTCCAACAAAAACAACTTGTCGAGCCGCTCAAACACCATACACGTAGATCAAGCACCTGCCAATCATTACAAGACAAACAAATATCGCCGTTCACACACGTATCGCATCTGCATTGGACAAGTTCAGCGCATATTCCTTCTTTCAATATGAAGTATTGAAGAATTCACGCAAATCGTATTTAAATTAATATAGAACATATTTTTATTTAAATATTTTACTACTAATTCTGATATTTACTTTGTGTTTAAAACTTTTAAAAAGGATGAATCATTTCATCTCTGTATATAGAAATAATTTTTGGGCAAATACCTTTATTTTAATTTTATTTTAAAACTCATTGTTACATAATCATTAATTTTCGACGATTTACAGATATGATGTAACATCATGATATATGCACATACATACATATATTATATTTTCTACTAAAATTAAATTTTGTTGCGAAAAGATTACAATATTTTTCAAAACATGAAAATAGGATTTTAAACATTTATTTAAAAACTAACTTTCCAGCTTTTAATTATTGTTATATCTAGTTTTCATTAGTTTATCGCAAAATATAAGATAAATAATTGTTATCAAATGATGTGCTAAAATCTTTTTGCATAATGCCAGTTTGTTAAGCTGTATTCATTAATTTTATATTTATATTATGTATTTGCCATTTTTCATACTAAAAATTCATATCAATATAGAGTGTAGCAAAGTTGCTTAATATAGAAATTGTTTAAACATATTATCTGACTCTGAATTTGTATATTTATTAAAATAGCGGAAATGTGCTTACAAATTCCTTTTATTACTTTTAATATTTTTCTTAACAATTACTAATTTACGTTTAGTAATACACTATTTTGGACAGTTCACATAAACCATTTGATGTAAATGTGCGGTTTATGATCTTCTTGTTCATTTTAAAATGTTTGCAAGTTTTTATATTGCATTGCAATGTCAAATACTCAGTTTTATTCAAATTTAAACGTAATCTATAATCTATGAATGAGTAGACGAGTTAAGACTCATTCTGGTATTTGCTAAATATTACTTTGATGCATACTATTTTACTTTGCTTTTGCTTCATTCTTGCTTTCTTCCTTTGTGGCGGTCTTGTTAATTGTTTGTTTGTCTTTAGCATCCTGTAAATAAATGCGGCCAAAATATGGTTTAAGAAAACAATAGAAATTTCCATATTAAACATTCCGAATATTTAAGAAGTCGAATTTAAAATAATTCGTAATATCAGCCATGCGAAGTGCTTATATATACAAAGCCATAATGGACGTTTATATTTTAACATGTAAAATATTTAAAAACAAATTAAAAGTTGTATCTGTGGCATTGGCATTGTGTAATATAAACACTTATATTAATATGGCGTTGTTACGATGAGAAAATAAATGCGTCAAAATATTTATGCGCAAAAAGTTGGCTATTTATTCTCAGGAATTTATTAAACGTACGTGTAATAGACGGTAATAGATGATTTTATGCTTATAAAACTATAAAAGAAACCATAGAACTGTTAGAATGTTATTAAAATAGAAGAGGTTTTAATGAAGTATTTTTGAAAGTGATTTATATAACATGCAATAAAAAAGCTTATTATTCTTCTTACCAGATTTACTTACAAAACCTCTTGTATTTTAAAAATGAAAACCAAATTAAAATTGTTTTTCCGCAGTTTTAATTTGGTATACGTTAACGTATATTGTGCATAAAGATAATTATGCCGGTCAAAGTGTATTTAATAAATTTCACATGTATACATGTTTAATGAATTATACACTCTTTATCGGAATAGTGACATTTGATAAGCCATTATCATTTATATTTAGAAATTTCAAGATTTTACCTTCGCCATAACGGCCGCCGCTTCCTTTTTTAAGTATTCCTCCCGTGCTGTTTCATACATTGATACAAACTTGTCCCGCTGCACTTTAAATTCTGCAAATAATTCGTCATTCTTATTTCCTTTGAGCCTATTTTCAATATCAACTTTCTTGTCATATTCTGCCCGTATTTCGTCGCTTACCCAAGGCTTTTCAATGGGATATTGATTAACCAGATTTTTTAATGTCTTAATTGTACTTTTTCCTTTTACCACCTTCTTAACCAATTTCGTGTTGGGTTTTTTAATCTTGCCAGCATTGCTAAATGGTGCTGGCGGCATAGCACGAGGCATGCGCGGTGGGATCATTGGTGGCATTGGTGGGGGAATTGGTGGTATCGGTCCGATACGTCCACTTCTTCGGAGGAACGGTGGTGGTGGTTGTATGCCCAATGGTGGGGGAATTGGACCTCTACCCATAGGTGGCATTGGTGGGATCATTTGTGGCTGAAATCCATGCGCTTGTGGTTGAATTGGAGGCATTGAAATATTTCCACGTGGCATTGGTCCAGGTGGTGGACCCATTCGACGGTTCCGGTTCATACCGTTTGGCGGTACCGGACCACTATTATTGAAGTTACGTGGACCACCATTATTACCGCTATTAAATCTATTGTTACCAGCACCATTGTGTCCGTGAAAATGGCTACCCTTATTTTTATTCCAATTTCCATTTCCATTGAGCTGAAGTTGTGCATTACTCGCCTGTTGCTGGAATTGTATTTGTGGTTTTCCTTTTTGTCTATTCTTATTATTTTTCTTTTTCTGCTGCATTTGACCCATTCCATTTCCTCCGCCAACGGGAGGTGATGGATTATTAAAGTCTAAATAACCCGGATTATCCGGAATTTGACTTCCATTGAACATCATCTGATTAAAATTTCCTGGGGGTGCAGGTCTTGGTCCTCCTCCACCATTACCCATGTTCTTGAAAGGTTTTTTATAGGGTACTGCAGCAGCTCTGTGCATGGGTCTGCCATTTTGAAAATTTTTCGCCATAATATAAACTTCAAGCTGTAAGTTTCTTTAACAAATATTGTGAGTATTCCTAATTTTTATTTTGATGTTAAATATATCTTTAAAAATAACAATGAATTCTTTATATAAAAATACAGATTTAAATGATTTTTATTATTAGCACTGAACTTTTCTCTGCAAAAATTACGATTTTTCACTTATCAAATGATTGAAAGCAAAAAAAAGGAAAAATCAGGGTTGACTTTTATTCGTGACATACACAGGGTGTTTCAATTTTTAAAAAAAAATTATGTACACCCAATAAAGGTAATGGTTCAAAGCTCGCGTTTTGGCCTGAAACATCTTCACAAAGATGGAAAGTACGAGTACAGAATGAAATACCAAAAGAAAAAAATAACATAAAATGATCATTGTTGCCAGTCGCGAATAGTGAAAAACATGTTAACTAAACTCAAACACGCTGTGCAAAGTGAGTTTGCGTTCTGAGATATATTATATTATATAATATATGGAATTTTACAATTGTTTAGAGTGGTGTTTGTGACTAACAGGCTAGCGGCTGCAAACACAGAGTTTACGCTTGGTCGAAAAGGCCTATAAGCCACATTCGTAAAGCTTCCCCGCATATTTATCTGTGGGCTAAAATGGTAAACGAAATTTGCTCCCAGATAAAAAAAATTAAAAACAGTTGCTTTCTTATAATTATACGTTCCCTAATAGAAGAAAGAATCAAACGGAGTAATACAAACCAACAGAGAGGAAATGAATAGAAAATACTATTTTTAGCGCCGGTACTACATAACTCCTTCATATCTAGGGATATGATTACCGTAAAAGTCTGGTGTTGGGGTAGGTAGGCGCAATGGTGAATTGAGCTTCCAAAAAACGAAGGCACTTTATTTGTTACCAGCGAAATAGGAGGTAACAAAAAACAGCTGTTTGTGTTGTTAGTTGGTGAAAAAATAAAAAACCAAAATGTAGACGTCGATACTTCATTAGAGGTTTCTCTTAAAAGTATATTTCCTATATTCCCGTCTAAGGAATTCGTTGGAAGCAATTGTCTGTTTTCGGGATCATTGTACTATATAGAAAAGTTAGTTTCTATATATTAAAATAAAAACTTTAATATTTTATTTTTTAAATAAAATTTATTGAACATCAACTTTCTATTTGGAAATAAAAATTATAATGATTCAGAAAAATGAAAATATTTGAAATTAAAAAATCAGTAACATATTAATTTAAAAATTGAAAATTGTATGTTACAAATGTTAAAGTAGATTCCGGTACACTATATTACTAATTTGATTGTCAAAGTAAAAACCGGGAAAATTTGCTTCCCAAAAACAAATGATGTGAATAAATATATCTTCATCTGGCAAATGATATTGGATATGACCGAAAAAAGCAGTGCTACCAAAGTTTTTCAAACGTTGTAACCAGTTCGACAAAATACCAAATTCAGTTCCGGTTGTTAAAACAAGTAATAAAATTTACTTTGCCGGTAATAGTTCGAATAGGCCTGTTAATACCAAGCTGTGCAGTCTGGTGATTCTGCAATGCATAAGCAGAATGTATTTACGTACTAGCACTAACGCAGCAGCAGTCAAAGAGTATGATCTTATAGGATCCGTTGAAGTGGAGGAGGAAACGATTGCTAGGTTTTGAAATTTTGGAACCATTTTTCCGCATGACCTGCAGTTGTTTAGGTGTGCGGTAAAGCAATCATTCCTTTACTATTCTTGCCATTGTCCTGTTGGAAGATCCGGAATTGATCTAAGCCCAATTTCTTAACACTAGAAAGCAAATTATTTTCTAAAATGTTTAGGTAATCAATTTTTTTTGCTTATCAATGATTTTTTTACAATGCATTATGACTTAGTCCAATTATTGAAGCATTTACACTTAGATTTTCCTTTCTTCTTAAAATTTACCACTAATTTCCTTATATATAAATGATATACTGTCCGCTAATTTCCAAACGCATATAATGTCCTGTCGGCATAAACAACTGTGGAATGAGAAGCTCCAATAAAAAAAACTTCAGAACGGTACTTTTTCTGCTTAAAATAAAAAAAGAAGCCTACTGGTGTATTTGTAAACTTTGTTTTGACGCGTAAAATACCCAGTACACTTTCTTTTGACGTTGACTGTATATGCTGATGAGCTGGTACGTCCACTAAATTCATGGCAAAGTTGGCTCCCGGATGTATATCGTATGCATAGCCTAAGGAAAATGGCATTATTTAACCAATCTTTTCCGTATTATTATGAGGATTTTAACCGTGTAGATATCTAGAGAATAAGAGGTCCGGTCTGATAACATAAATTACTAAATTCATTTTTTGTTCAATAAACGCACAGGGAACATTTATTGCAACCAGAGAGGTTATTAAGTATATATTCTTCTGACCAACCACCGAAAATCTTATAATATATAAAATGAATTGGTAATCTTGAAAAAATTGATTGAAATAACATTTGGTTAATAAAAAAAAATGTTACGATAAAACTTTATCGAAAAGTCCCGATTTAAAATTATTAAAGAAAAATATCAAGTTGTCTGAATACACTCAAATACACACAAACACAAAAAAAAATCGTAACTAAAAATACAAAATTTAACAGTAACACATTTTAAATGATTATTGGCAAATTTTTTGTAGTAAGTTTTCGGTTGCTGCTCGCGGGTGACATTTTGGACGGAGTGAGTGGATGGTGAAGGCCGGCTCGAGGATTGGGCAAGTGGACAACTCGGCTTTCATTAGTATATATGCGTTTTGAACGTGTTGATATACTTGACGCTGAAGCGGCTTGTGAAAAAGCTGAGTGTATTATTGACGAACGCGAATCAGGATCAATGCATTTTTGAAATGATTCATAAGCATCATCTGCGCCTTCATCTGTAGCCCAGTCCGATCCATCATTAATGTGTATTTTCGGCACATTAACTACCTTCTTTTTAGTACTCTTATTTAATGAAGATCGTTTTTTGCTTCCTGAACTCTGCCTACCAGACTTTCGACGTATTGTTGTAGCAATCACTCGAGTTTTCTTCAGCGGTGATTTGAAAGGCGATTTTGATGGCAATTTCCCTGCTGCAGTCGATAAGGCAGCATTTCGCGTTGTAAGCGCTGGTTTATTAAAGACGCGGGGGCTGTTAACTGAGAAAACCAAACTTCGTTTAGCCAAAGGAGTATTCCTTTCGTTTTGAATTAATTTCCGTTTTTTTGCTGAATTTGCCGTTGAAGACGGAAAAGCTGACAAGTTTGTATGAGAAGTTGCTTTACGGATTGAAACCATTGAACCGTTTTTTGCTGACATTGGCGTTCGTCCTGTAGTAGGATGTGGTGTTTGAGCGTTTTTTCTCGCACTGCTCATTTTTTCCTTTTCTTGACGCTTTTTATCCCATTCTTTTTCCATCAAATCCAAAATACTTTCACCATATACTCTGAACTCCTGATGTTCTTTTTCTTCATATTCCAAAACTAATTCTCTAATCTGCTGCTCAATTTTCGGCAATTTGGTAGCGATTGTTTTGCGCTCCTTTTCTTCTTTTAACAGTTGACCACCTCGGTTATTGTATCGACCAGGATCTGAAGCTTTTAACTCCAGTGCAATCATGCGATCCCATAACAATCTTCGATTATCATACAATTCAAATATCTGTCGATTATTTTCATAAAAACGTTTCAAGTCCTCTAACTCTATTTCATGCAACACTAAAAGATCTTCAGTGTAGCAATTGCTATGGAAATTCGAAAAACGGTTTCGCTCTGTTTCTGATTTAAGAGTTTTATCCCACCACTCTACAATCTCTGAACGAATTGTTTGCAGACATTCTTTTATATTTTGGCTTTGTAGTGATTCACAGCGGTTTAGTTCTTCTTTCAGTGTATTGTACGTCCGCTGACTATATTCTGTATGACGTTTGAATTTATTTCGAGTATTTGGTGATGTTTTTAAACGTCCCCACAAAGCTTCTAATTTCTTACGAATGCCATCGATGCGCTCCGACAATGCTTGCACTCGGGCTCCATAAAATTCTTGCATGCCTTTTAGTGCTTTAAATGTCTCTTCGTTAAGTTTGATTTGCCTGTGATTTAATAATCGATCCTCTTTATCTGTATTAACCTGTGTTTCTAATATATGTAAATAATTCTTTATTTCTCGACGTAAAACTGACATCTCATTTAAGCGTTCCATTCGTTCCACCTTGAGCTGCTCTAAATGACCACGGAATTCCGCAATTTCTTCTTCTGAGGGCAATGGATCGGCTAAAAGCGGCCGAGGTGCTTCTCCCAATTCTTCACACAAGCCCTCCTGTTCAAGTAAGAGTTCGCATATTTCCTCACGGCGCCGCCGCAACTGTTCACGTAATTCAGTCAAACTTTTATCCATTTTCGACTGCAGAACTACCAACGGTACATCACAATTTACCATTTTTGGCAGTACAACATCTGTTTTAAGTAAACGGCAAAGTGTATCTGCTTCTTTGCGTAGCTCTTCTATTTCATTTTCGATTAACCCTTTCCTGTGAACAGACTCTTCTTTCAATTCTGTGAAGAATGTTTTCACATGCTCCTTTAGTTTTTTGAAATTGTACAAACACATTTCTTCATCAAACATTTCCGTCCATATCGAAGCGAGCTCATTGACATTTTCAGCCATGATTCTTTGCAACTCCAAATTTTCTTCCTCAAAGTCAGCCATTTTAATAGCCTCCCGTTAGTTCTGAAATAAATAATTTTTACTCAAAGATACAGAACATTCTCATTTAATAGCTTTATATACCGTCACAAAAGGTTAAACGTCAAAGTTTGAAATCCAATAAATCCACTTATTTCCACAAATTATAGACACAAAGTTTCAGAAATTACCCTATGTGGCGCGTACTAAGAATTTCAGTTGTAAATTTGATTTCAAACGTGGTGATGTCACTAAAAGTATCGATATATTTTTCCAATAAGTGTAGGGATAAATTTACCCTACAACACCTATACAGTGCTCAGACTAAGCACAAAAATAGATAGATACCAGATATTTGGCGATGTTTTGAAATCCAATCACATTTTATTTCGCGTCGACTTGGAATCAATAAGTTATTTTTTTAATCCTATCGGAATTAAGAAATTCGAATCAAAAGCAAATCCTATTCAAAGTGGCAAAACTTAATTGTTTTGTTAATTTAGTACGTGAGCTGTTTCACAATCTTCGGACAAAAAGCCAGTAGCATTAAATTTATAAATTTGGCATTCACTTCGAACGGGAAATCGCCATTTCACATAAAATTTATAAAGTAAAATTACCGGAAATAGTTAATAATATGCTAATATATACTTGAAGACGACGTACAACGATTTAAATATATTAAGTTAGAAGTTGTATTCCCGTCATGTGATTCGTGCCCATTGGATGGTTGGCAATCAGGAGCTATACTGCAGTCGTCCGTTCCTTTCCCCTTTCCCCTTTTGCCTTTTTCCAGACACCGAATAGTCTCAGCCCAGTTAATGACCAACGAACCAGACCTTGTTTCATGCACGAGTGAAAATGCCGCCGAAAGACACGGGGTTATTAAACACACCGATGGAAGCGGTTAGACTTACACGCTCTTCATCACTTGTTTGGCCTTTGGAATACAAACCTCCCTGATGAAATGAAAAATCGTTTAAGATTCCGAAGTTATAAGAGAGCTCCACGAGGGGCAATCCTTCTAGAGCTATCCATTCGGTGCCGCAAACTGCGAGACCCTTCAGTGCGGTGGCGAAAGATTAGCTAATTGTTAAGCTCTCCAAAGAAGCCATTGCTGAGGAGAACGGCTGTGGATCGGATAATAACTGTTCCACGAGACCAATCTAGAGGCGGTTCACAGAAACGAGATGCCGAGAGCTTGGGTCTGGCAGATGATATTCCGGAGCTTATCCAACTTGCCAATAATAGTACTAGCCTCCCACCAGGCCATATTTAAGAAAACTAGAGGGAAACTAACACCCAGAAGTTACCCATTATGATCAGCGATGATGGAATTGCCCATCACTTTCTCCGGGATTCCAGCGAAACGAAAACACGAGGTGAGTCTCTATTAGATAAATGGATAAAATCCCTCTTTTAGTACCGTGTTTTGGAAGAAAATCCTCCATATAACAATTGGATCTAATACTTTCTTTGACCAGATCAGAGACTGCCAAGTTTTGCCTTTAATCTCACCATGAGATCATCCGCAATATCTGCGAACAGAAACCGAAGGAGAACTGACTAGACTAAATGTAGAGAAGCCCTGTCATAATCCTTTCTAAATAAAGCTTCTCACCATAAGTACGACTTATTGATAACAGCTTGAGAAACGGCTGACTCTAACACAACGCCTGTTTCCTTTGGGTAAGTAGACTCATCGTAAAAAATCGATGAAGCGGTGGATTTAGTCACCAAAGCCTGTAACGCTACTTTTGCGGCATTTCGTTCATTAATTATTGCGATAGGAAAAACGAAAATCTAAATGGTGAAATAAAGAAAAATCTGAGATTAGGAAAAGTAGTGGGACACTCTTTAATAAAGCCGAAAAAAAACCGAGTCTAGGATATTCTACAGGAATTGCTTAAAAAATTTCGAGAAATCAATCAGGTCTCTACGATCTCGAACTGTATATAGAAACCAAATAATTAATGCACACCATCTTGTAGGAAAATGCTAAGCATTCTAATGAGCACCCATTTTCCAAGGTGTACTGAATACTACCATGCTTCTCCCACATCGCAGACTATAAAAAAAAATAAACGCCTAATCCGGTAAAACTTTTATCATACAAGTATATCCAAAGGAAATAAAATCTTTAAACACCGCCCTTTACAATATTGCATTGTATTGGGGTCTCGCCTTTAAAGAGTATACACTGGGCATATTTCTCGACATTTAGGGGTTAATAATGTCCTCCAAAGGATAGTTATATCTGACCACCCAGTAATAGCAGATAGCGAGTCTTGGGACCGAGATGGTTTTTTCATTAGAAGGTACAAACAATTTGCTTACTCAAAGGCTTCGAGATCGTTCTTCCTTCTGAAGTTCAATACCAAGGCATAATTTTGGTTAGCAAACTCACCTGGGACCGGAACACAGTAGAAAGATGTAAAAAAGCTATGGCCGCATTCTACGCCGACAAAGCGGTGATCGGTAAGAGGTGGGGATTAAGACACATTGTATTGGATGCATAAAGCGGTAATGGAAACCCATAATATTACATGTCCAAATACTAAACTCTACATCATTCTCCGAAGAGGTGGACTATACCACTTTTGTCTTCTGTTTCGACAACTCTTTCTCAACAAAAATCCCAGAAAGAAACGAAGAAGAAAATGCAACAATTCTGCATCATAGAGCCGTAGCCATCTTCACCGTCGACTCCGAACAAGATGGCAAAGTATATTATAGAGTTTACTCTAAACCTATGCTATAGAATTAAGTAAAGGACTTCCCGACCACTGCAACGTCTTTCAAGCGAAACTAACGGCGATATAAGAATCCGTTTCATGGTTCCTCGTTTCTAAAACGATAACCCATACCATTACAATATATTCTGCCAGGCTGCCATTAAATATCTCCAATACGATAAGTCAGATCTTAAAGAAACTCTCGGCTGCATCAGTACAGTCCGCGGCTTGGGTCGTTATTGACATCCCAGGAAAGTGTGTAGTTGACGTACTGGCCAGAAAGGGAACAGTCAGAACCACGGTAAACTCAGCACATAACGTGGCTTACCGCTTTCACGGCAAAGTATCTGCTAAGCATAGCCTTTACAAGTAGTGCCAACGTTAGATGGCAAAGTGAAACCACGTGCAATGTGACAAGACAAATCTGGACATTGATCGAGGTAAACAGAACTAAGCCTTTACTCCTTCTAACCAGACCTCCATAAGCTTAACAACCGTCGTAGGAAAATGGACACTATCTTTTGGGGTGTCATAGTAGGAAGATAGGTTGCTTCTGATTCGACTTCTGCCGCAGTTTCTGGGGATTTGATGAGAAGAAATCGGTGGAATATTACCTCTGTCACTGCCTAGCTTGCAGTGCGGCCCGCTACCGTTTTCTTTTTCGATTACCTTGCAGAGGTTGATTGGTAGGCATCAATAATCTCCTTAGTTTCAGATAAGACACCAAGTGGTTAAATCATTTGGAAAGGTTAGAGAAACCTCCTTGACAGGGCTCCGTAATCAAGCAACGTGTTAAACTAACCAATTGACTATGTATGATAGTACTATATTTTATATATTGTTGCGAAAATGCGAGGCGAATGTCAGATGAAAGAGAGAAGCCGATAACTAGTACGTTCTAGAAACGATAAAACAAGAACCTTCCATAGCGAACAATTCGATGCTTCTACGCTTTCGTCTGCGAGCAGCCGACTGCTATATAAAGGCGACACTCAGCTGCAAGTCAAGCAGTGACAAAGCAAATTGGTTGGCGTTAACATCAGTGAAGACGTAAAGTGAACGCGTTGGGAATTACATTTAAGTAGAGTAAATTGTGAAAGTTGATGTTAGTGATTATAAATAGTAAAGTGCAGTATAATTGAATTGTGAATTACTGAGAAAATAAAGGACATTAGATTAATTCTTTATAACGAAAGAAACTGCAAATTAAGTTGGCGAGTTTTTATTTAACAATCCAGAGATCGTACCCGAAGGATTTAGAAAATAATCGAGGTTGATTTATTAAAATCGTAACAATATTATACTACATATACATAATTGGCGATTCTTCAGTGTGGATGTTATATTGAGCGATCGACTTTCTACAAAAATAGAGACTTTTAATTATTTCATTTACCTTCATTTTTAATGAGTTCACATGTATTCGTTCGGTTTTATCTGCTTGAAAAACGAATAATAAAAAAAAGACAAGTTTTCTAAACAGTCGATAACATATGTCGAGGAAGAGTTTGTATCAAATACTATTTAAAGAGCTGTTCTTAAAAGAAAAAATGAACTTGTTATCGGTTACAAAACAAAATATAGCATTAATATTCTGTACAAATTCAAAACATAATGAAGAAGAAGAAGAACTTTGTGAGTTTAAAGATTATGGTAAACAGCGTAGAGGCGGGGAAAATAAGTGAAATAGAACAGCTTAAGAGATAATGTCAGATGAAAGAGAGAAGCCGATAACTAGTACATTCTAAACGAGAACCTTCGAAAGCGAACAACTCGATGATTCTACACTTTCGTCTGCGAGCAGCCGACTGCTATATAAGGGCGCCACTCAGCTGCCAAGTTAAGTTTTTTACAAAGTGAACTCGTTTGCGATAACATAGAGTATAGCGGAGTAAACGCGTTGGGATTACATTTAAGTAAAGTAAATTGTGAAAGTGGATGCTAGTGATTGTAAATAGTAAAGTACATTGGATTAATGCTTTATAATGAAAGAAACTGCAAATTAGGTTGGCGAGTTTTTATTTAACAATCCAGAGATCGTACTCGAAGGATTCAAAGGATACTAACGTTTAAATCAACATCAATATTTTATTCAATTAATTAAGTTAATTTCATTTCTCATTGTAAATCTAAATTTAATATTTTACAATTGTTGTAAACTCCTTGCCAATCATATACACATCTACATTACGTAATTTTACTAATATAGAAACTCAAAACGAAATTACAAGTTCTAATACAGACTTTTACTTGATGAAGCACAATTTCAAAATAATAATATTCGTAATAACAATAATAAGTTTCAAAGTGTTTTAATTTGCCTTTCAACGAGAAATTATTTCGAAAATTTTTGATGTTATATTTGAATAAATACGAAACACATAACAAAGTTCCTTGTAAGATTTCCTTTTAGCGAAGAAAAAAGATTGCAGTACCTTTCGAACACTCGACACTTTTAGAACTTTTCAGACATATGAAATGTTATCGTTATGTTAGTCATGAATTACTTTTTAAATTATGGATTTGTA